TATAAATAAATATTTACGAAATGAACTTACATGAAAATAGTTTTATAACCATTAAGCTAGTTAAGTAAAGAAGAAATACATTTTTATAGGTTTTATTATCTGTGGATTTTACAATGATTCACAGTTTGTTTATTTTCAACCATTCAGGGTGAGTCGGTAGTGACAGTATGTATTGGTTTTATATTTGTTTGCTCTCAAAGCTCTTCTCTTGGTTTTGTACGTATCAGCTTGTGATTATTGTGAGAAGTACTTTGCAATTATTTGAATGAGGTAAAATGAGATTAGTTTCAGTAAGATATTAAAAGAAAGCTTGAACAATGTCAGAAGCCAGTGAAGGTAGATTATGAGAAGTATCATGTGACAGGATTAATACCCAGAAAAAATAAAGAATGTCATAAAAATTGTGAGATATTACCTGATATCTGTAATTTTAATAGTGTTGAAGTCAGTTAGATGATGCCATTTTGATGATTTCAGCTTCCTCAATTGTTTAGTTATCACAACTTTACACCAAATGGGTTACTGTGAGTCACCAGGTCATATGATGTTTTTCATGTACATTTAGGGATATATTTCTGGAAAAACATTGGAGAAGTGTTTTGGGACGCTCTGTTTGTGATTATTTCTTCGAAGCTCATGGAAAAGTAAATGAATTTATGTGTAAATGTTGTTTGTGCTTGTTTGAGTGAGAAGTTTTAAGGTGCTTTCATGAACGGTTTTCATGTTATATTTGTCTGACAAAAATGCTCCTAAACAAATTAAATATCATCTTTTATGTTCAGGCTACTTCTCCAGAAGACATTCCTCCTGTAATTGCAACAGGATTCAGTTATCTCATCAGTATATTTCGCCATGATCTCTTCTTTGTTTCTGTTGTTGAAAATGAAGGTTTGTGTTTACATTAAGGTTAGTTAATGTTTTAATAATGTTTATTTTGAATCAATTGCCTCTAATCCAATCAAGAGATTGATTGCTAGTTTTAATTGAAAAAGTATGCATTACTTTGCAAAGAAGTGTTATCACTCAACAAAAGGCATTACATTAGGCATTCTTAGTGGTAGATAAAAATAATTTAGCTTTCATATCATCAACATGTGGTGAACACTTTAATGATTATTATTATTGATGAATTGAAAACATTCCTTTCCAGTTCCACCTTTGTTTGTGATTGAATTTCTTCATCGAGTCGTTGACTTGATCAAAGAATATTTCTCTGACTGTACTGAGACAATCATTAAAGAAAATTGTGTCATTGTACATGAGGTTTGAGATTAGTATTTTTTGTAGAGAATCCAGCTGTTTGATGAATGAATTTCAATTTCTTTCTTTTGTGTGTGATGTAAAATATGATATTGTATATCTTTATATTCTTCAGTTATTGGAAGAGATGTTGGATAATGGATTCCCTCTTGCTACAGAGTCAAATGTCTTTAAAGAGTTGATAAGACCTCCTAGTATAGTTAGAAATGTTGTTAATAAAGTGACTGGAGACAACAAGTAAGAACCTTCCTTATAGTAAACATATGAGCCATGTTTTTATGTAGTGATCTGTATGTTGTTCATATAAGGATCAGATATAAATATAAAGCAAATCTGCAAAACCACTAAACATTTCTATATTTGCATTGTTGTTTTTTTTATATGCAACTTACTACAATATTTAGTTAAATTTGTTTTAGTTTACACATTTATGATCATTCTACATATAATTTAAGTTAAATATTTCATATTTTTTTTTTCTAGTATGAGCAGTCATCTCCCAACTGGTCAATTGTCCAATGTTCCATGGAGGAGAACTGGTGTAAATAATGCAAATAATGAGGTATGTAGCTATATTCACATTGTTCCATTAAGAAATTTGAAAGAAAATCCTTTTTTATTCTTTGTTTTAGTTGTAATGTGATGAGTGATTGCCGTGTGATTGCCGGCTTAGAATTGCGCCAACGTATCCTCTGCGTGTCGTAAAAGACGACTAAAAGGGGTTGGTGTAAGGAAGGGCATCCTACCGTAAAACTTTTGCTCCAACAAAATTCATGGACTTTGGAAAAGAAGATATGGCCCCCAGTCCCCGGCAGCCCTTCAGTGGGCAGGGGGTGCGAAGAATCTCCGGATCGAATGTTTGTGGAAGTGTCACCCTTCGGGTAGGCACAGTGAACGTTGGGACAATGAAGGAAAGTGCAGAAGTGGCGGACATGTTGAAGAGAAGGAAGTTGATGTGTGTGGGTTTCAGGAGGTAAGGTTTAAAGGTGAAGGTACGAGAGTCATAAAGGGTGAAGATAATGGAGCGAGAGATGGTGGAAGGGAAACGGAAATGGAAGGGTGTGGTGGATAAGGCAGGAAGAAGGTGGAGGAAGGAGTGGACAGTGGAAGGAAAGAATTGGACAGGAGTGCAGGAGAGTGGGTGTACATTGAGGCACGATGTGTGATGCTTCAGGATTGGAACGGTCAAGTGGAAGCGTAGAAGGATTACTGCATGGAGGTTTCAGCTGGTGATATGAATGCTGAAGGCGAGACGATATTGGAGTTAGCAGCGAGTGGGATGGTGGTATGAATACGTGGTTTATAAAGGAAGAAAGCAAGCTTGTGACGTATGAATCTGGTGACAGTAGGACGGTGGTGGATTATATACTGGTGAATGAAGAAGAGAGGAAAACGCATGAAGAATTGTGACCCAGCAAAGCTGCTGGTCATGGACTGGAGAATCAGGAAGGTGAAAAGGAGAAAGGTTGAGGGTAAAGGCAGGCTTGGAAGATGATCGAATGAAGGGAAATGTTTCCGTGACGAAATGACATTGAATGTTGAGGGTGAGACGGTGGAGTGGATGTGCTTGGAGAAGGGTGTTTAAGGCAGCGAAAGGTAAGTAGGTGTAGTAGAAGAACAGGCATGGTATGAGTCAAGTGATTGGCGGAAGAAGTTGGCATTTAAAAGGTGGAGAAAGTCGCGGACTGCAGATAGGATCGATTACATCCGATTCAAGAAAAAGGCGCGAAAGGAGGTGGCTAAAGCGAAAGAAAGACATCAGAAAGAGCTCGTAAAATGCAGGAGAATGGAAGAAAAGCGTTGTTTAGAACTGCTAGAAGGAGCAAGAAGGAGAGGAACGATATTTTGGTGCTCCCGGCGTGCAGAACCACGGGGGAGTTGAAGGTGTTATTGGAAGACAGGTTAGAAGTGTGGAGGGCGTACTGACCGTTTGATGAATGTAGAGAATGAGTGGAATGGAGAAGTTGAAGCGGATGAAGTTTTGGGCCGTGGGAAATAGTGACTGTTGATGAGGTGGCGGCGGCTCTGCGCAAGATGAAGAAAGGAAAGGCGACGGACCGAGTGAAGTGGGTAGCGAAATGTTGGACAATGAACTATGCGTGAGAGAGTTGTGTAATGTAGCGAACGAGGTTTTGAGGGGCTCAAAGATGCCGAGTACATGGAGAAAGAGTCTAGTGGTCCCGCTGTACAAAGGAAAAGGAGCAGCAACGGTATGTGGGAATTACAGGACTATTAAGCTGATGGAGCATGCGTTGAAAATAGTAGAGAGTGTTTGAAAGAAGGTTGAGGGAAGTTGTTCGGATGGGGAAGAGCAGTATGGATTCATACCGGGAGAGGAACGACGGATGCGTGTTTTGTGTTGAGGCAGCTGCAGGAGAAATTCTTGGAGAAGGACAGAGAATTGTATTTGGTGTTTGTAGATTTGGAGAAGGCGTTTGATAGAGTTCCGAGAAGGTGATCGAGTACGCTGCGTAAGAAAGGTGTGACAGAGAATATGGTTCGGGCAGTTATGGAGACTTATGAAGGTGTAGAGGCGGTGGTTACGGAGGAAGGTGCTAGATCTGGTGTTTTTGAGGTAAAAGTTGGTGTTCATCAAGGTTCAGTCTTGTCGCCGTTACTGTTTGCTTGTGTGATGGATGTACTGACAGAGGAAGTGAGAAGAAGAATGCTGGTGTTGGGTTGAGTCTTGGTGAATGGAAGAAAAGTTCTGGAATGGTGAGAATGAAAACGGCAATAGAAGTCAAGGGAATGAGGCAAAGACGAAGGGAAGGATGCTGGAGGTGGAGGGGACAGTGATAAATGGCCATGTGGTGTGTGGGGAAAAGAGTTGGAGGAATTGATAATGTGGGAAATGTGGTAAGTGGGTTCATGGAAGATGTTCAGGTGTCCGTGGTGCATTGACAAGAGTAACTGATTTTGAGTGATGGTTTGAAGTGGTGGGTGAGTCAGATTGAACGGTTGGAAATGATGTGGTTGGAAGTGGATGGAGTTTAAATATCTGGGCGGAAATGAGGGTGAAAGGGTGAGGAACAGAGGAAGAAGATGGGAATGTGAAAGATTTGTTGAAGGAAGAGAAGGAAAGGTGGATATGGAGTGTTGAACCTGAGAAGATTGGTGCCGATGGATGGGATGATGGGTGGAACAAGGATCGGAAGGAAGAAGGTGCTGGAAGGAGGGAATGGAAGGAATGTTGATGGAGTGGGACCAAGAAAGAGATGGATGGATGTTGTGAACAGTGATATGAAGGCGATGGGTATAACGAGAGATATGGCGAGAGATAGAGATGTGTGGCGTGGAAAAATTCATGGACCGGTCAACCCCCCTGGCGGGGATTAATACTGGCCGGTATATAAATGTTGTTTGTTTGTTTGTTTTGTAATGTGATGAGTGAACTTTTTTCTTTTCTTAATTAGTTGTAATAAATATTGCTAATTAGTTGTTGGTTCTAATTACTCATAATTTGTTCCAATTAATTCTAATTATCACAAATTAGTCCTAAGTATTTCTAATTCATTCTATTTATGTTATAGATTTATTTTGATGTAGCTGAAAGCATTGATGCCATCATTGATAAACAGGTAACAACATTATAATACTGTGGATTTCTTGATCCTTTTGTGGAAGATGTATGACAAAAATATGTTTGTTGTTTTTGTTTGATGTTAAATTAAAACTAAGGACATGTGCAAACTGAAAACTTATGGCATGTTTAAATTCCTAAAATTTTCTGTTTTGTGTAGGGCTCCACCATATTTTCAGAAATACAAGGAACTGTAAGTGCCTTCCTTTTTTTATACTTTGTTATATGTACTCTCTTGTACAACATTTTAAAGGTTTTTTCACCTTTTTCAACTTTGTTCTTTCAGATTGACTGCAACTGTAAATTATCTGGCATGCCTGGTATATTTATGATACTTTGTTATATCTCTAGATTAAAATTGAATTTATCTGTAGATTAAAGATTTGTATTAATTATAGATCTCAACATGTGTTTTACAAATCCTCGTATCCTTGAAGATGTCAGTTTTCATCCTTGTCTTCGCTTCAGAAGATGGGAGGTACGTAAGTTTGAATGTTGAATATGGATTGTCTCTTGTCAAAGTCAACACAAATTATTATTAACATGACTAATAACAATTGTCTTTTTACATTGAACACTTTTCTTTCAATCTTGCACTAAAACTGCGTCTGAACGCGACTACTTCAAATGTTTGTGTATTTTAGTCTGAACGAATTTTGTCATTCGTCCCCCCGGATGGTCGTTTTCGTTTAATATCATATAACGTGGCAACCGGGTGGGTGTTTAAGCAGTTATATTTTCATGATGAAATTGTCTATTTTGATGGTATTTTTTGTTTTTTGTTTTGGGTAAATATGCTACCATTGTTTGCAAAGCCTCGTGTCTTGTTTCAAGAGGTTTATCAACTGTTGAAATTATTTTAAAATGTTTTTTATTGATTGAAATAAATTAAAGTGTTTGATTTTTCTGCGTTTTAATTCTTACGATTGTTCAAAATATTGATTCGATGATCGTCTTTTACTTGGTTGTTTCAGGGTGGAAGTGGAAGATTTGAATTGTCGATAAGTTCAAAACCAGTTATAGGTAAAAATGTATGTATTTATAATCATGTCAATTTATTAAACTGCTGTTGCATCTTCTTGCATTTATAAACTTAAAGATATAACCTAAACTAGTCCATTTTTTTCATACGTATTATCCCAAAGCATTTTGTATAAAACTAACTATATCATCCTAACGTAATCATACCAAGTCAAATGTTATATACATTAACTTTTTCAAAGTCTTTTCACTCATTGTTTCCATATTTTATTTAGATCGAGAATGTTGTCGTGACTGTTCCATTTCCTAAACAAGTTCTCAACCTTAACTTGACTACAAACGGTAAAAACACTCATAAAATATTAAACATTACAGTCTGATGTTTCATTGCTCTTCATTGACGTTTCCCATCAACATTTAGGACATGTGTTCCATGTTTTCAATTGGTTCCTATTCATTTGATCCAATGAAAAAAGAGCTTTCATGGGAGGTAGGTTCATGAGGAAATTGTCACGATCACGTGGTTATGTGAATCTAACGTAACGTTAAACAATTTTAGATCGGTAAAATACAATCTCAGACATCGTCACCTAACATCAAAGGAAATGTAAGTAAAACTTTCTTTTAATTTTTGCAATTCTCGGTTGATTTACAGACGTCTTGCCATGTTTTTCAAGAAAATGTTTTCAAACTTTTTGCATGCAAGCAAGATCTCCCTTCACAACATTTTTTGCTCACGAAGTAAAGTAAGGTCGATCTTCACAGGTCGCTATCACTGTAGTTATATTCTTAAATTGTATTCTCTTTTCTGATAATTGTTACTATCCCCCTTCCACTTTGGTATTCACCTTTAAAGATCTGATTTCCTATCATAATTAAACAACGTGGTGATGTGAGAATCGCTCTGATCTTTTTATGAAACTGCTCTTGTTTCATTTCGTCTTATGTTACTTGTCGTCAAATTCTTGCTGTATGTTGGTTTTCTGTAGTTTACTGCTTCTTATCATAATCTTTGTTTATTTTTCTTGTTTTTTTTTTATGAAAAGAATTAATGCATTTCTCCATAATCTTTTGATTTCTTTCCTTTTGTCTAATTTCCAATGTTTATATTTCAGATATCTTTAAAAAGCGATGTTCCACCTTCGTAAGAAGCACCAACTGAATTCGTAAGTGGTTTTTTACTGAGTAACGTATATAAAACCAAGTTATAATTCGATGATATACTAAAATAATTCCCAAACCAAACGTTCTCTATGATACAAAGTTAACATAACTTCCCTCAAACATGATTTATTTATCAATACTCCTTAATTATAAACATGCAACAGCCTGCAACAGTACCATCATAAATTTGTAGAAACCTGTCTCCCTTTCGCCTTCAATCATTGGTAGCATTCTTTTCTTTAGTTAAATTTCAAAATATATTCATTTGCGGCTTTGGGATTGAAAGTCGGTAGACTGGAAGTACATGGAGAGGTAGGGACAGTTTGCATGGTTTGTTGTGTATGTAAGGGTACACTTTGCGTAGTTTGATGTGTATGTAGGGGTGGGTACACTTTGCATAGTTTGTTGTGTATGTAGGGGTACACTTTGCATGGTTTGATGTGTTTGTAGGGGTACATTTTGCATGGTTTGATGTGTGTGTAGGGGTACATTTTGCAGGATTTGTTGTACATATTGCTGTTCATTTTGAGTCCAACTAATGGTATATGGTTTCTGATGTAATTTAGAACTACAAGCTATGAAAGGAGTCAAGACACAACAGCTTGACAGTATAAGATAAGAACATAAAATTTTGTTAAATAAGTAAGGACTTTAATTATATAGTAAGTAAGGACTTTAATTATAGAGGGGGGCACGTAACAGCTGAAAAGCTGACAAACCTGTGGCACAAGACAACATTTGCGCATGGTTAACAATGCGCGAATCTCCTTCGTAATCCTTCGACAGAACAAAGTTTGATTAGCTTTCGAAAAGATAATTCAAGTTGTTGTGTTTTTTTCAACATGTATGCATGTTTGACAAAAAAAATGTATCGACTACTGGGACTGCAGTGGCAATTGAACTTTACCTTCCAAGAAAAAAGAAAAGTTGTAAATGCAATCTTCAACTACATTGAACGATAAAATTGTGTCAATGCAGCAATACTGTACAGGCAAAAAAATTATGTTATATTGCAGCACGTTATATTTATAGAAAAATTTTACTTGGAGCAACTGTGCAGTCATTGTGAGTGCAGTGTACAATGTTAAAAAAGGGAGCCGTTCTAAACGTGGTAGGGAGGAAAAATCTGACCTGTTAAAGTTATTAGTAGTTTTTAGTACAAAATGGGAATCAAGCTTTAGAGTTTGTTTCCACTAGCTGAAAATTTTGTACATTTTTCCAAAAAATTTAGCATGGTTTGGATTCTTGTTATTTTTCTAGTGTTACATGGCTGCTTTAGGCATATGGAGTTGATGGTCCGAACAAGAAGTTGGCATTCCACTATTCAACGTGGCTTCAATTCTTTCCGTTTTCCTGGTGTTACTTGGGTACTTAGAGCGTATGCATTTCCTAAACGTATGTAAATTTTGATTCTCGTTTATAATACATAGCGTTCCGAAGTCGCAATTGGGTATTGTTTCTAAGTTTGTAAGAGCTTTTTCGATCAAAATTCTATTTGTTGTCAACATTTCCAATTATGTTCTTCCTGAAAATGAATTTCTGTCTGCGGAAACTGATCATTCAGTATTATCAACTTGCTGCTTCATTCACAAAAAATGCTAAACGATAATACGAGGCAGCTGCATGGCAGTTTTGAATATCATATGATTTTTACAATGTTTTATTGAATTTTTAATTTCAGGGAATTTGATAGGTAGTCTCGACGGTCGTTATGGATTTACCTGCAAACATTAGCTCATAGGTCCTGCCAATAGAGATTTTATCTCGTTTGAGAGGAATAAAGTTTTAGAGAAAAGTCGCATTAAAATGTAACTTTTCCAGTTAAATCGCAACATTAATTGTAGTTTTGAGCATTTTTAGAAAAATTCAAAATACATCAGTGACACAATTAAATTGTAGTGAGCCTGTGGAAACATAAAATACTCGCGATTTGATATCATTTATATTCTTTTTTTTAGTTTGATATGACAAAACAGAACATACGTGAGTGTCTACACTGTAGTGACAAAACAGAACATACGTGAGTGCCTACACTGTAGTGACAAAACAGAACATACTTGAGTGTTTACACTATAGTGACAAAACAAAACATACGTAAGTGTCTACACTGTAGTGACAAAACAGAACATACGTGAGTGTCTACACTGTAGTGACAAAACAGAACATACGTGAGTGTCTACACTGTAGTGACAAAACAGAACATACGTGAGTGTCTACACTGTAGTGACAAAACAGAACATACGTGAGTGTCTACACTGTAGTGACAAAACAGAACATACGTGAGTGTCTACACTGTAGTGACAAAACAGAACATACGTGAGTGTCTACACTGTAGTGACAAAACAGAACATACGTGAGTGTCTACACTGTAGTGACAAAACAGAACATACGTGAGTGTCTACACTGTAGTGACAAAACAGAACATACGTGAGTGTCTACACTGTAGTGACAAAACAGAACATACGTGAGTGTCTACACTGTAGTGACAAAACAGAACATACGTGAGTGTCTACACTGTAGTGACAAAACAGAACATACGTGAGTGTCTACACTGTAGTGACAAAACAGAACATACGTGAGTGTCTACACTGTAGTGACAAAACAGAACATACGTGAGTGTCTACACTGTAGTGACAAAACAGAACATACGTGAGTGTCTACACTGTAGTGACAAAACAGAACATACGTGAGTGTCTACACTGTAGTGACAAAACAGAACATACGTGAGTGTCTACACTGTAGTGACAAAACAGAACATACGTGAGTGTCTACACTGTAGTGACAAAACAGAACATACGTGAGTGTCTACACTGTAGTGACAAAACAGAACATACGTGAGTGTCTACACTGTAGTGACAAAACAGAACATACGTGAGTGTCTACACTGTAGTGACAAAACAGAACATACGTGAGTGTCTACACTGTAGTGACAAAACAGAACATACGTGAGTGTCTACACTGTAGTGACAAAACAGAACATACGTGAGTGTCTACACTGTAGTGACAAAACAGAACATACGTGAGTGTCTACACTGTAGTGACAAAACAGAACATACGTGAGTGTCTACACTGTAGTGACAAAACAGAACATACGTGAGTGTCTACACTGTAGTGACAAAACAGAACATACGTGAGTGTCTACACTGTAGTGACAAAACAGAACATACGTGAGTGTCTACACTGTAGTGACAAAACAGAACATACGTGAGTGTCTACACTGTAGTGACAAAACAGAACATACGTGAGTGTCTACACTGTAGTGACAAAACAGAACATACGTGAGTGTCTACACTGTAGTGACAAAACAGAACATACGTGAGTGTCTACACTGTAGTGACAAAACAGAACATACGTGAGTGTCTACACTGTAGTGACAAAACAGAACATACGTGAGTGTCTACACTGTAGTGACAAAACAGAACATACGTGAGTGTCTACACTGTAGTGACAAAACAGAACATACGTGAGTGTCTACACTGTAGTGACAAAACAGAACATACGTGAGTGTCTACACTGTAGTGACAAAACAGAACATACGTGAGTGTCTACACTGTAGTGACAAAACAGAACATACGTGAGTGTCTACACTGTAGTGACAAAACAGAACATACGTGAGTGTCTACACTGTAGTGACAAAACAGAACATACGTGAGTGTCTACACTGTAGTGACAAAACAGAACATACGTGAGTGTCTACACTGTAGTGACAAAACAGAACATACGTGAGTGTCTACACTGTAGTGACAAAACAGAACATACGTGAGTGTCTACACTGTAGTGACAAAACAGAACATACGTGAGTGTCTACACTGTAGTGACAAAACAGAACATACGTGAGTGTCTACACTGTAGTGACAAAACAGAACATACGTGAGTGTCTACACTGTAGTGACAAAACAGAACATACGTGAGTGTCTACACTGTAGTGACAAAACAGAACATACGTGAGTGTCTACACTGTAGTGACAAAACAGAACATACGTGAGTGTCTACACTGTAGTGACAAAACAGAACATACGTGAGTGTCTACACTGTAGTGACAAAACAGAACATACGTGAGTGTCTACACTGTAGTGACAAAACAGAACATACGTGAGTGTCTACACTGTAGTGACAAAACAGAACATACGTGAGTGTCTACACTGTAGTGACAAAACAGAACATACGTGAGTGTCTACACTGTAGTGACAAAACAGAACATACGTGAGTGTCTACACTGTAGTGACAAAACAGAACATACGTGAGTGTCTACACTGTAGTGACAAAACAGAACATACGTGAGTGTCTACACTGTAGTGACAAAACAGAACATACGTGAGTGTCTACACTGTAGTGACAAAACAGAACATACGTGAGTGTCTACACTGTAGTGACAAAACAGAACATACGTGAGTGTCTACACTGTAGTGACAAAACAGAACATACGTGAGTGTCTACACTGTAGTGACAAAACAGAACATACGTGAGTGTCTACACTGTAGTGACAAAACAGAACATACGTGAGTGTCTACACTGTAGTGACAAAACAGAACATACGTGAGTGTCTACACTGTAGTGACAAAACAGAACATACGTGAGTGTCTACACTGTAGTGACAAAACAGAACATACGTGAGTGTCTACACTGTAGTGACAAAACAGAACATACGTGAGTGTCTACACTGTAGTGACAAAACAGAACATACGTGAGTGTCTACACTGTAGTGACAAAACAGAACATACGTGAGTGTCTACACTGTAGTGACAAAACAGAACATACGTGAGTGTCTACACTGTAGTGACAAAACAGAACATACGTGAGTGTCTACACTGTAGTGACAAAACAGAACATACGTGAGTGTCTACACTGTAGTGACAAAACAGAACATACGTGAGTGTCTACACTGTAGTGACAAAACAGAACATACGTGAGTGTCTACACTGTAGTGACAAAACAGAACATACGTGAGTGTCTACACTGTAGTGACAAAACAGAACATACGTGAGTGTCTACACTGTAGTGACAAAACAGAACATACGTGAGTGTCTACACTGTAGTGACAAAACAGAACATACGTGAGTGTCTACACTGTAGTGACAAAACAGAACATACGTGAGTGTCTACACTGTAGTGACAAAACAGAACATACGTGAGTGTCTACACTGTAGTGACAAAACAGAACATACGTGAGTGTCTACACTGTAGTGACAAAACAGAACATACGTGAGTGTCTACACTGTAGTGACAAAACAGAACATACGTGAGTGTCTACACTGTAGTGACAAAACAGAACATACGTGAGTGTCTACACTGTAGTGACAAAACAGAACATACGTGAGTGTCTACACTGTAGTGACAAAACAGAACATACGTGAGTGTCTACACTGTAGTGACAAAACAGAACATACGTGAGTGTCTACACTGTAGTGACAAAACAGAACATACGTGAGTGTCTACACTGTAGTGACAAAACAGAACATACGTGAGTGTCTACACTGTAGTGACAAAACAGAACATACGTGAGTGTCTACACTGTAGTGACAAAACAGAACATACGTGAGTGTCTACACTGTAGTGACAAAACAGAACATACGTGAGTGTCTACACTGTAGTGACAAAACAGAACATACGTGAGTGTCTACACTGTAGTGACAAAACAGAACATACGTGAGTGTCTACACTGTAGTGACAAAACAGAACATACGTGAGTGTCTACACTGTAGTGACAAAACAGAACATACGTGAGTGTCTACACTGTAGTGACAAAACAGAACATACGTGAGTGTCTACACTGTAGTGACAAAACAGAACATACGTGAGTGTCTACACTGTAGTGACAAAACAGAACATACGTGAGTGTCTACACTGTAGTGACAAAACAGAACATACGTGAGTGTCTACACTGTAGTGACAAAACAGAACATACGTGAGTGTCTACACTGTAGTGACAAAACAGAACATACGTGAGTGTCTACACTGTAGTGACAAAACAGAACATACGTGAGTGTCTACACTGTAGTGACAAAACAGAACATACGTGAGTGTCTACACTGTAGTGACAAAACAGAACATACGTGAGTGTCTACACTGTAGTGACAAAACAGAACATACGTGAGTGTCTACACTGTAGTGACAAAACAGAACATACGTGAGTGTCTACACTGTAGTGACAAAACAGAACATACGTGAGTGTCTACACTGTAGTGACAAAACAGAACATACGTGAGTGTCTACACTGTAGTGACAAAACAGAACATACGTGAGTGTCTACACTGTAGTGACAAAACAGAACATACGTGAGTGTCTACACTGTAGTGACAAAACAGAACATACGTGAGTGTCTACACTGTAGTGACAAAACAGAACATACGTGAGTGTCTACACTGTAGTGACAAAACAGAACATACGTGAGTGTCTACACTGTAGTGACAAAACAGAACATACGTGAGTGTCTACACTGTAGTGACAAAACAGAACATACGTGAGTGTCTACACTGTAGTGACAAAACAGAACATACGTGAGTGTCTACACTGTAGTGACAAAACAGAACATACGTGAGTGTCTACACTGTAGTGACAAAACAGAACATACGTGAGTGTCTACACTGTAGTGACAAAACAGAACATACGTGAGTGTCTACACTGTAGTGACAAAACAGAACATACGTGAGTGTCTACACTGTAGTGACAAAACAGAACATACGTGAGTGTCTACACTGTAGTGACAAAACAGAACATACGTGAGTGTCTACACTGTAGTGACAAAACAGAACATACGTGAGTGTCTACACTGTAGTGACAAAACAGAACATACGTGAGTGTCTACACTGTAGTGACAAAACAGAACATACGTGAGTGTCTACACTGTAGTGACAAAACAGAACATACGTGAGTGTCTACACTGTAGTGACAAA